GCCCCGCCCCGGACGACGGCGGCACGAGGGGCGAGGCCAGGCTGGGGGCCCCGCGCCCGGGTGCAGGCGGGGGCGAGTACACCCGCGGCCCACGCGCAAACCCTACCCCAGACGTGCGACCTTGCAGCCCCTGCCGCCAGGCCTCTGCCCGCAGGCTCCCACTGTTGCCCGCTACCCCTAACTCCTCTGCAGGACGCGGAGCCCCCCGGGTTACAGCCGGTTCCCACAGCCCCTTCCAGCTGCTCGTTCATTTTATTAAACGCTTAAAACTTAGGCCGCGGCCTCGTCCTCGCAGCCGGCCGCGCCCCGCGCTCCCCCCAGCGTCCTCTGTGCACCGCCCAACCCGCACTCCCTCCCTCAGGAGCCAGGCCGAGCGCCTCCTCCCGAGCCCGTGAGTGGGCCCTGGCCTCCGAAATGGCAAACATGTTTACCGGCTAAAAATACCAGTGGCGGAGGCCCCGCCAACCCGGCCCGGTCAGGTCCAGTTACCCCCAGGGTTAGCGCGGGCAGGGCAGGCACGCTGGGGCAGCAAGGGCGCGCGGAGTGCACACTGCAGACGTGCAGAGGGGCACAGGCCTGCGGACGCGCAGACATGCAGGGACAGCCACGGCCCCGCGCAGCCCGTCGCAGGCCCACGAGTGCCCTGTGGGCAACCCGGACCGGACGTCCGAGAAGCAGCCTCTCTCCGCTTTGCTCTGCGCCTTTTCTAGCCCCCCATTACGGAAGGGAGAGACAACTCGTGCGGTTGGTTGCGGGGCCCGAGAAACTAAACTTCCAAATTTTGAGACCTTTTTTTTAAAGTAAAAACTAAGAGTCAGTTGTTTCCTTTATCAATGTCTTCCCACTGTTTTTTATTTCTTCTATTTTTCCCCACCGTGTAGTCCAGGCTTCCAACTCACTGGGCAGCTGGCAGGGAGCAGTACTTATTGTTATAGAGGCCAAGTAGCCTGCTCTCCTACAGGCTGAGTCCTCCCTGCTGACCCTTAAAAGTAAAATCAATACCTCCCTCGAGCTCCAGGGTTTTTGTTTGTTTTGTTTTGTTTTTTGTTTTTCAATACTGTGGTTTGGACTTGGTAGTAGAGGCCTGTAATGCCAGCACTCAGATTGAGGCTGGAGGATCACCCATGAGCTCAATGCCAGCATGGGCTACATGCCGAGAGTAGAAACCCAGGACCTCCCCAAAGCTAAGCAGTGTCCAGCCAGCCACTGCTTATTTTTCCCCCAGGTCTGAGCCCTTGGAATTTAAATAACCCAGAGGCAGCCGTAAGTCCCCTCCCCCAGGACCCCACATGTCACTTACCAAAGGATTCAAATTGGGAAAGAATCACATGGTTCCTGGGCCCAGGGATGTCGCTCAGTGGCACATCACCTGCCTGACAAGCTTGTGTTACTGAGTTTGATTCTCGGTACAAAATAAATAAATAAATAATCACCTGTTTCTTTTTTTATATAACTCGGGATCTTACATTTGCCAGGCAGGCAATCATGCCACTGAGCTACCTCCCTGGCCGTAGAATTGCTTGTTTCTTGAAAGCACAAAGTTTTCCCTGTCCTTGTTAGAGGTGAGGGGCCTGGGCTGGGGAGATGGCTCAGTAGAATAAGTGCTTCCCTGGCAAGCACAAGGGCCTGAGTTCAATCCCCGGTTCCGCCAAAAAAAAAAAAAAAAAAAAAAGAAGTGAGGGGCCGGAGAGATGGCTCAGTAGAATAAATGCTTGCCTGGCAAACGTAAGGGCCTCAGTTCAATCCCTGGTTCTGCCATAAATAAATAATAAATAAGTAACTTGTTAGAAGTGAAGGAATGGGGGTGGGGAGATGGCTCAGTGGAATAAGCACTTCCCTAGCAAGTGCAAGGGTCTGAGTTCAATGCCCGGTTCCACCAAAAAAAAAGAAGTGAAGGAAGGTGAGGCCAAGTCACCAACAGGGAGACTGTCCTGAGACTGGAGCAGACCTGGACGCCCAGGGCAGCCAGGCAATGGAAACACACGCGCGCGCACACAGGGTAGACCACCCAATGGTGTATGCATCGTGGTTTTCACCCTGACTTATTTTTTCCCCAGTGAGGGGAGTCTCAACACACTGGGCAAAGCCAAGGTCAGCATTCCCACTAGAGGAGGGAGTACCTGAACATGTACATGTACGTGTGTGTGCGTGCACACATGCACCCTTGTACTCGAGGCCCAGTGGACGGCAGTCAGCTTTTACTTCATTCCCGGAATGCTTTTTTGTTTTGTGATGCTGTAACCAAACCCTCACACACACACACACACACACACACGGTACCTGTGTTGTACCACTGTACACTTCCAGCTGCCAGGCGCAGGTTTTTAAACTTAGGGCGTTTGGGTTGAGCTGCATATTAAGCCTTTCTTATTTATATTTTATTTTGAGATATGGTCTAAGTCACTGAGTTGCCCAGGCTGGGCCCAAACTTGTGATCTTTCTGCTTCGGCCTCCCAGAGGGCTGGAATTACAGGTATGTGTCACCATCAGCAGCCAGGAAGAGTGAATGCCAGGTGTAACTGGCCCCAGAGACCTGGCTCTATCCAAGGAGCATGCCTAACAGTCACAGCGCCTGCACTCCCAGCCCCAGGAACAACAACTGCACTTGTGGGTCACTGTGTGTGCACACATGCACATGTGCATACAAGCTCACGTAGACACACAGATACACATGCATAGGTACACACACATGTGCAGAGGCTCACACACACACACACATACACGAGTGCACAGACACATTCATGGGCACACACAGGCACACGTTTTAAAGACACCCAGAGGCAGGATACTTGCAGCTTGAGACCAACCTGGGATACAAAGTGAGCTCAAGGCCAGCCTGAGTACCCCTGTCCTAACATGGTGAAGAAAGCCTGTGCCCTTCTCCACGTTCTGGGACTCTGACTAAACAAGGGCTCTCTTTGGGCTGGGGAGATGGCTCAGTAGGATAAGCGTTTGACTGGCAAATGCAAGGATCTGAGTTCAATCCCCGGTTCCGCCAAAAAAAAATAAAAATAAATAAATAAATAAACAAGGGCTCTCCTCTGCTGCTGCCCCTGCCCTCAGGCCAGCCCTCTGCACCCCTCAGGTGTCCCCACAAGTTCCAGGGAGTACTGCGCATTCTCATCACAGGGATAGCCCTACTTCCCCAGGAGTGACGCTCCCTTTGGGTTCCCTGAAATCAGCGGGGGTGTGTTTGAGATGAACCTTGAGCTTCTCTGTTCCTAGGCAACATGGCTCTGTTTGGTTCTATTTTGCCCGTTTTCATGGTAACCACTGCCCGAGCTTCTGGGCAGGCCCCTGGCCAGGGGATTCCCTTCCTCCCCCCTCCCCCCCTCCCCGCCTGAAATCTACGTGTAGCTGCGAGGCCTGTAGGCTGACAGTTCGAGGTAATAATCTGTTTGAAACTGGAAAGAAGCGACAGGAAGCAGAGTGAGCAGCCTGCGTGGTCTTCCCCTTTATGACCTGCTGCCTCCCAAGTCCAGAAATGACTCTTAGCGCTATGGGGACTCTGGGGACAACCTCGGGTCCTCGCCAGCACGGGGCTAGGAGGCGACCCCGACCCATCCTGTTCCCCAGCCAGACAGCAGTCTCCCGGGCGACTCGGGACTCACGTCTGCCCCAAGCAGCTCTCTCCCTCCAAACTCTTCATCCTAATCAAACATCGGGAGTCAAAATCATCCTTCCCCAGCTGTGCCGCGGGGCGGCCTAGACTGGACCTCCAGGGTCCAAGGGGTTCCTGCATGGCGAGGAGGGAAACTGGCCCATGACACCCGGACACACGGGTTCTACAGGCGCAGCACAGCCCAGGCTGAAACCCGCAGAGACCACAAGCACAGGGACCGCGCGCGAAGCTGGGAGGGGATGTGGAGGGGTCAGTAGGCCGGTGGAAGCAGGGGTGCCGGGGCTGAAAAGCGGGACCGGCACCCCAGGCTGAAATGACTGAGGGGCTGGAAAGAGGGAAGGCGGAGAGGGAAGATCGAAGAGCGCAGGCGGGCCGAGCCCGACCGCTCCGGGGTAGCCACACTGGAAACCAGAGCCGCGGAGCAACAGGATTGAGCTATCGGCCGCGCCCAGCCGACTCTCCGCCCCCTCCCTGGGTCAGCCTTCCTGCGGTCCCATCCACTTCCTCTGCCCGCCCCCGGCTCCCGGGAAGGGAGGGGATGGAAGACTGCCTGGGTTCCTCGCCCCCTCCCCGCTCCGAAGCCCAGCTGCAGGAGAGCGGGTTGGGCGGGAAGGAAGGGCTGCGGCCGCCGGGCCTGAGTCACTGCATAGCTGAGCTCGCAACAGGGCAGCCCCGCCTGGGCTGGGCCCTGGGCCCACCAGACCCCGAGCTGCCCCGCCTCGCCCCTTCCGGCACTACAGAGGGGGAGCCCTTGGGTGCCCCCGCATTCCCCAGGCCCAGATGTACTGGGCTAGGGCACAGGTGACAAGCGCGGGGGCAGGAGGCACCCTTGAGCCCGAGCCCGAGCCCGAGCCCGCATTCACAGGTGAAATGTGGGGCTGTGGGAGGCCTGAGGGCCCTGCCAGGTACATTCTGTGAGGCTGACTCAGGCCACAGGGAGCAACTATAGGAGTGGGAAAAGGGGGTGTGTCGGCTGTCTGTCCCAACCGTGGGCGGGAAGCCAACACCGCAGGCACCCCTGTGACTCAGCCCCACTCGTGGAGTCCCGGGAAGCCGTATCTCGAGGCAGGACAGCCAGCGTCCGCTAGCTGGCCGGGTCCCCAGCCCTGGGCGGCCCCCTTCCCGACGCAGCCCCAGCTCTCGCTGTCCCTCCCCCAACCGCGCGGCCGCTCCAGGGCCCTCGGGCCCGCCCCGTTCCCCGGATCAGAAGAGCAGCCTGGCCGCAAAGGGCTGAGACAGCAGAGGCTTCGCTGGGA